ATTTAAATTAAATAATTAATAAATATAAAGTTAATTTTTATTTTTTATATAAATTAATAATAAAAATTATAATTAATACATTTTTTAAGTGGTGTATATTGTGAAAGAATGTTATAATTTTTGATAATTTAGAATATTTTAGTTATTGGGGACATGTAAGATAGGATCTAATTAATCGAAACATTTCTGGCTGGTGTGTACATTGTACAATCTTTGAAGGATGACGTAGATAGGACATGTAGTTTTCAATGGGTAATGGTATTATAAATTTATTATTATAATATCATAATGTATTATTATGTGGTTAATTTTTTTTTATTTAAAAATTTATTTATAGTATTTTATGTATTTACTTACTTTTATTTTTTTTTTAGTTATGAAAAAATAAATATTATTAATAAAAATTAATAATTTAATAAAAGTATAACAAAATACGCTGTAACTGCTTCTGAATCTCATTACTCCCTTAAAGGTTATCATTACAATTGTTCTAAAAAACATATAAACAGCTCAAGTTAACCCAAAAACCTTTAGTTATTATGGAGTTCCGGTGATTCCAAACTAAATACCTAAAGAGCTAGAGGGGCATCCCCCGTTTTGAGCCACCTCCTTTGGAAGACTTACTCGAAAAATAAAAGGACATTTACTCTATTTATTAGGGGTTCCCCCCGCTACTTCTAATTCTTATTCTCTTTCTTTCTTTTAAAATCAAATCTAATTTAACTAAATAGAGAGTAAACTCCTTGTAAAATAAGTCACAATACTTTGAGTTTGGGATGCTTATTACTTTGTTTTGTGTGATGTAGACCTAAATGTGAGTTAAAGTTAGGGATACAGGTATTGTCACGTATGAATTAAACCATTAAATAAAAAAGTAAACTTCTGTTATTATAGGTTTTTTTATTTAATAATTTTTGTTTTATAATTTGATTAAATAAGGTCTAAATTTCCAAACAAGAGGCTTGTCTAGTCTTTTAGGTCACAAAATATTAATTTTAGAAATATTTATGGTAATTTTGTTTAATTT